TGATCGAATAGATTGGATTCACAGTTTAGTCCGGTTAACGACAGGCTAAAAGATCATATCAAACCAAGAGATCAATACATCATATATATACAATCCATTGACTATACCATTATGAACAATTTACAGTTCAAACCAAACTGTGCATTTCGGTTTGATGCACGATTTTTCAAACGTTAATTTTGCCGGCAGTAGTCTATATGTAAACATATACTGTTTAGGCCATCATACTAATAGGCCATCCATTATGTGTAAGTGCATTTTCCTTCTTATATATATATATAATCAGGTGACAGTAGTTGAAACGGATGGGCACCTTGTCAGAAGGGCATGCAGAAGGAAGGCGTGGGTGGGTGGGACGAGCGAGCGAGCGGCAGCTGTTAGCCGGTGGAGCGGTGTGCACTGAATTTATTACAACCACAATATTTAGCTAGCGTACGTGTATTGGATAACATTAACATGCAATGGATGCGATGCGATGCGAGTCTTTCTGTATATCCCTTTGACTTCTGTAACTTAGTCAACTGCAACGCGTCTCTGAGTTGTAAGTCGGCCGTTTCGGAAGACTTCAGAGTTCAGCAAGAAGAAAATGTTGAAGTGCCGACCCAAACTTTTCATTTACTGATTTAGCCTAGTGTGGGTGGGTGGGTAAGATCAATGGATCAAACCTCTTCCTTTCTCCAACCAAGAACTCACTTGTCACGTGAAAATTAGGGATTCATTGATCATAATGGTTTAGTTAATCATGTCCATGAGCAATGAACAATGGTTTTTGTTATTTGACCAGAGTACAATTCATTTCAAATTACAAAGAATACATATCGGAGTACTATTCTATCGGTGCTAAATAGAATAGACGGAAAAAATATAGTCGAAAAACAATATCAGATGAGCAGATAGTCCATCCATGATGAGCGAAATCACATACTATACTAGTTGTTGAGGCAACAACTAACTTAGTCAAAGCAAGTTGGTTTGGATGATTTGTTAATCTCATAACCCAAAACCATTAAATCTTAATTCACTCTCAAAATTTTCCTTGTCCAGTCTAATTTAGTCATGTTATTGATCCATTCTATTTCAGGGTCGTTTCCAACGTGGATTTGGTACCCAAATCCATTATCATGGATTGAAGGAAAATCCATTGTTTGTTTGCATTTTTTTTAGAGATCAAATCCGTGGAGCTCGCGGATTTTAAGAGTCCAAATCCGTGGACCCCACGCAGGGGCGGACCCACGCATGTTTGGGGGTGTCACTGGACACCCCTAAATTTTGGAAAAACGATTATCCAACCCCTCGTGGTAAATTACGTATGGACAAAAAAATTAGAATTGATAGTCGGGGACACCCCTGAAGTTTGAAAAATTTATTATCCTACTCTCATCTCCTAGTTTGGGTATGGGAATATAAGTGGTAGTTTGGGTAATTCAAACCTAGGACACTATTATTATTAATAAACATAATTTCCATTAAGTTACAAGTCTACAACTCATTTTTTGTTCGATTTTAAACATTGTATAATAGTAAAATGTCATTCACTATCTCTAATTATTTTCAAAATCTAACAATTAAACAAACTTCAAGCTATCCTTAATTTGTATTGATTTTATGGTTGTACGACAAGTGTTGAAAGAGTCTTTTCGGCTTTGGTTTACATCAAAAACAAGTTTAGAAATCGAATATGTGATCAAGTCGTGAATGAGTGTCTAGTAGGATACACAAAGACAATTTTTTGAGCAGTGTAAAATTTCTGAGTCCGCCACTGACCCCACGGACTTGTAAATCCCACATATTGATGTGGGATTTGTAACATGCCATAAATCCATGATGGGATTTTACCCATATACTCTCATTAACTTTTAAAATTTCAATGTTGTCCTCACATTTACCTATTGTATATTATAAATAATCAATTAATTAACAACAAAAAAATAACATAAATATTCAATTAATGTGCAAACATGAGTTATATTTTTTATATCCTTTCTTGTGTTTTAGTTTCCTTTGGCATTTTCATGGAACGTGGAATTCTTAGTTCTCCGGTTCTAATATATGATGCTATATGTTACTTTTGAAAAGGAGGATAAAGAATTGATAACCGATATATTTTACGTTAAAAGTTAAATGGAATTGTCGCGTTTATTATTATTGTCCTTGTAACAAATTATACTTATTAGTACGCATTGTCTTTGTTTTGTGTTCATATCATAAACATGACAAACAAATAGAAAAGGATAGTATGGTAATTTTGGACTTTAAGTTCTAAATCCCAAACCCTTAAATTCATGATAAAATATCTCAACAAACAAAGAATTGTTACAAATTCATAATGGCTCAAATCCTTGATAAATCCTTGGATTTTAAATTATAAAACCTTCATTTTTAAATCCATGAATTCTTTTTTATATTACACAAACGGAAGCTTTTTCTTTCTCCATAAAACAAAGTGATGACTAGGGTGTCGATTTCGACCAACCCGTTAGCCGATTGGTTGGGTCATACCTGCCTCGTAAAGTGCGCGGGACAGAATAAGTACTCTTCTCGACTTGACTAGCAAGCCATGACCCCCCTCATTCTCAACCTCTTTTGGTTAAACTATATGTAATTTATTAAATCACTTAAAATTTTACTTTGGCATACTTCCTCAGCACAATATCCGCGGCTCAAGAAGGACTACCATGAACCTCATGTTTTAACATAAATAAAGTTGTGGAAAAAAAGCGAAAATCTCAATTTCTAGAATAATTTAACTACATTTGTAATGATACTTTACTGTGTTACTTTTTAGGAAATAATTAATGTTTAAATTTTTTCCTTTAAATTATATACCCATATGAAGTTAACCAGCCTCCATGATAGATTACTCAAACCGAACTCGACTAGTTATTAATAGATATGACTACCGAATACTCGATCCAACTGTTCTATTGTCATTCCTTATTATTGCCGGGTAGTTTGACTGAGAGGGCTTGGTCAGCTTAAGAGATTCCAAGCTACTGTCGGATCTTCCGCAGTTTAATCAACTGTAAATCAACCCAGGGTAATTACAATTGAGACCTAACTAAGGAGCTAGGGGGACTCATTCCCGAGTGACTCTTCCTTTGCTTTAGAAAACCGGACCATTTCCTGCTTTTTACTGCTTTTAGTTAAAACAACAATCACTCGACTTAGTTTGCTAGATAATAGATAATCACGGAGTAGGCAGTAGATCTAGACCCCGGGTTGACATTAGAACTTGCTACTTACTACATTCCCGGACTGCGATTACACTTGGTCGCAGTTTGGTGTTGTGTTTTAGCGTGTCAACTACCAAACTACAACTCTTCTTTCGGAACAATGAGCTAGTTTGGCCCTGCTGTAGCTTTTGCAAAAACAGCTTCTGTGTGAAGCTTTTAGAGAAGTACTTTTCTAAAAAAGCAGTTGTGTATGGCTGAAAAACTATTAGAAGTGCTTTTAAATATGAGAGGTTATGTAAAATGACTATAAAGGATTTAGAATATAAAATATGAATAAAAAATCTAAACAATAAAAAGTAGTCAATATGGATCTTATTAGATTTCTTTTATATTAAATAATATCATTTTATGTTTATAATGATTGAAATGAAACAAAATTATATTTTCTGAAATAAAATTAAAATATGATAAGGATAATCTTGTATTTTCAAAACAGTTTTTCGCAGAAACTCCAAATCGGAGTTTCTGCTTTTATGTTATACAAAAGCGCTTTTCGGCTTTTCAAAAGCCGAGCTTTTAGAGGTGTTTGGCCCTGCTTTAGCTTTTGAAGCCGAAAAGCACTTCTAAAAGCCGGACCAAACATAGGGAATAATATATTGACAAAGTTTTATTCCTTGAACGCTAAAAATCGTCAATAACTTTGAACAACCATAACTTTGTGCTTCACAATCCGAACGTTACGAATTTTTTTTTATTTTGCATAACTTTTTAAGGGAATAACTATGAAATTTTTTTTTCAATTACGACTTAAAACGAGTGGGAAATCGTTCGTTAAAGATTAATCGAAAAAAATTAAAGACTTTTCAGGAAAGAGAAGTAGCGCTAATGTAACGGATTCTAATTGAATTATAAATAATTATTAAACACAAGGTTTATTCACTTGATCACCTCCCCAGTCCTTTCCCGATAGAACTCTCTTAATCATCTAAGCTGTTTTCTTTCGGAAGCTTTGGCAGCTCAAATGGGGTTTTAGTATTCATTCCATGTTTTCAAACTTAGACACCTTTTTCTCTCAAACGATTCGCCCTTCCCCTCTAGATTTAATAGCCAGAAGTAAGAATCCAATAATGTTCATTTCTCCTCTGCCTCTTAATTAATATAACCTACCCAATTTTCAATATTAATTCACTATCCGTAGATAAATGTATACCCGCCCAATACCTGTCGGATATGGGTATTGTACAGAATTTACTATCTCTATCCGTACCAGTTGATCTGGCCAAACCCGTAAGTTTGATGGGTGGGGAGTGGATATAAGTATCTGTTCTCGATCCGACCCATTGCCATCCCTAAGTGAGAATGAGAAGGAATTAAAAAGTAACACGTGTTGGTGGGAGTGGAGGCGAGGAGAAGAAGGAATGGTAGAGAAATTAGGGTTCCAAAATTAAGGATGAAACAACAGGTGCGGCTGGACGGAGTGTTCAACGAGGAGGATGTTCGGTTTTCGGGTTCTAATAAACCGAACCAAAACTGTTAACACAATTTTCAGGTTCGGGTACCCGAAACCCACAAGGCAGCAATGCGGGTTCGGTTTCGGGTTACAAAGCAATGACATTTTCAGGTTTGAGAGCCTTGTGTACTCCTCTGATCTTCACAACTTAAAGGATACTGTGAACGTGGTCGGATCACATTTCCCTGTTCTAGAAATTCAGTTACAAATTATTATCTTGTAATCTGTACCTTCGTGGGTTCCTCTCGTTAGTTGGAAGGACAAGAAGTAATAAAGAGTTTGAATGGAATGAAGGTTGAACATGCTTGCAAAATATACCCACAACTCCACAATCCTTTAATAAAAACATGCATATAAACCACCACAAGCCTCTCGCCCCAACCCACAATTAAGAATTGGATTCTAAATTCGGCTTCCCAATTTCTCAAACCCAACCAATGGAAAGGGTTAATTAGGCCAACCTCAACCGATGGTGTTGCCGCTTCTCCTCTGGTAGGGAATGGCTGAGGCACAGGTTTTTTTTATGATGGATGTGAAGGATGGAAAACTAGAAGCTGACTTAGGTGACAATAAGGCTGGCTAAGCAAACTTATGAATGCAGGCACGAGGGCAGAGAGAAGTATGAACACTAAGACCTCGGCAATTTCAGACACGCCTATCAGTCTTATAATCTACTACAGCACAGGCTAGTAGGCCAGCATTACGTATTCTATCTATGAACAAACAGAGTAGCAAGCAGAAGCCACAATTCACATTTGAATTCTGAAACAACTTGAACTTATTTATACTCCAGTTCTGGAAACAAATCCAACGACGCGGTATTATCGGCATATTACTACACTCATAGTGATTCTCCCTGGGAAGAAAGAAGTTACAATATCAAACTCACAGCATTACCAGCAGCAATGCATCACTGAGCTTTCCTTTCTCGAGCTAGTTGTCTGGCCATTTCCCTGAGTTCCTCTGGCGATTGCGGCCTCTCTGCTTCCGGTGGATACACTATGTAATCTCGCTGCAATAAGAAAACCAGTCCCCCAATTCAGTTCATAATACATACTTTGATGATCAGAAAACCAGAATCGACACACAATGTAAACAACGGCGACACACGAAAACACTATTTGTGTAACTAAATGTGCTTAGAAATGCTTTCCCAATCAGGCAGTATCATCCAAGTTTCCATCTTTTTACTCCATTTGCAAAAATTGGAATCAAATTTTGCCAAGAGGTTCTGACAATTCGTGACCAGGGGGGATTCTAACCTCTAGTTCAGATTCTGTTTAACAGTTGTTGTATTCAGTACTGATATAGATCCATAAGAACGCAGGGAGCAAAATTTCCCATTGATCTAGCTAGCTTACTCCAACGATTCAGCAGAACTATGGGCCTCGTTCAGCAGATTGATTTCCAATCCAGGAACCCTAATTCCCAAACATAACACTTTCCCACTGAGCTTTTCACCGAGTCAATTGAACAAAGCGAAGAACAAGAGAAGATATAGAGAGCGCGAATTGAATCTCAGGAGTGGAAACCAATGCGATCCGTAGAAGGGAAGGGAGGAATTAGAGAGTGAACCTTGCCGGTTAATTTGTTCATGAACTTGGTATCGGCGGCGAAACTCATAAGAAAGACTGGAACGCTGACGTACACGGCGAACTTCGCGACCTCTAGAATCCCTTTGCCAACTCCAATGTTTGACATTTTGTTTCGCCGGTGAGGAGGAAACAGAAATCTCAGGCGTAAGGAGAATATTGTTCGCGCGGCCTCTCCCTAATTTCTGTTGAGGCGGTTCCGTGGGATGGAGAAAGGAAAGGATCAGGCCTTCGCTACGTGGCAGGGTAGGATTCCAACAGGTAGGCTTTATTAGTTTGTTTGGGCCAGGCTTAAATAAAAGAAGCAAAACTGGGCTTCATCGCCATTTGGTTGATTCATATAGTGAATAATCGTTCGGGCTTTGACGCTCTGGGCTCAACTTGGCCCAATCTTCTGGGCTTATACTTTCTATCCCTAGCTGGAGTAATAGTGTGAGGATCTAGGAACTTTTCTAGGTGTTGGTTCTTTTGGTCTTCAAGATCGTTATCTTGGGCTTCCATCCTTACTTGGTCGCTCTAAATTGGACACATTCAGATTTGTTGAAGAGAAATTATGTTCAGTTCTTCAAGGCTGGAAATCGAAAACCCTTTCTGCAGCTGCGAAGGAAGTGTTACTTAAGTCTGTGGCTGCTGCCTTGCCAGTGTATGTAATGTCGTGTTTCAAGATGCCAAGAGATTTGATTAACCGTCTGAATGCGTTAATGGCGAGGTTCTGGTGGGGTGCTCGTCAAGGTCAGCGACGTATTCACTGGCGTTCTTGGAAAGCGTTATGTCTTCCTAAACAGGATGGAGGACTTGGTTTTCGCGAGTTCGGATGTTTTAATCAGGCTCTGCTTGCTAAGGTGGCTTGGCGAGTGCTACAAGACCCATCATGTTTACTTTCCAGGATCTACAAATCTCGATACTTTAGATCTTTTGGGAGTTTTTTAGAGGCGCCTTTAGGAAGTAATCCATCTTGGGGATGGAGGAGCATCTTGTTTGGACGTGACTTGTTACAGATGGGTCTTCGATGGAGGTAGGTGATGGCCTTTCAATTCATGCTTTGAGTGATCCCTGGCTTCCCGGTGATCCTCCAGGCATTCCTCGAACAAATCCAGGTATTTCTCCTACGCCTTCTTTGTTGGTAGCAAGTTTGATTGATCCCGGTACTCGGAACTGGAATTCTGCTGCATTACGGCATTTCTTGGATGTGGAATCCGCTAGGAAGATTGGTAGCATTCCGTTGGCGCAGACAAGACTGCAGGATTCTATTATTTGGCAGTATGATCCCTCTGGTCTTTTCACAGTGAAATCCGCGTACCATTTGGCTTTCCGACATCAACGACCAATTCCTAGTAAGAACAGGATTGATTTCATGGATCCATCTGTTTGGAATTGGCTTTGGGGAAGGAAGGTCCCTCCGAAATTGCTCTTCTTTCTATGGCAATGTGTTCATCGTATCCTCCCTGTTCGTGAAGCTTTAGTAACGCGTGGGATGGACATTCTTCCTATTTGCCCGGTGTGTGGGCGGAAAGAGGAAACCATTGAACATTTATTTTTCAGGTGTCCGGCAGCTAGGAGATTATGGAGAATGGTAGGGCTGCATAGGCACTTGGGGCGCTGGAATACGGGATCCTTTATTGGTTTCCTTCGTTTCTCATTGTTCAAGGAGGAGGGACAGGAGTTGGATTATCTATACTTGAAGGTTATTTGTCTTCTATGGCGCATCTGGAAAAATCATTGTAAGGTTTGTTTTGAGTTCAAACAGGTTAGAATTGAAGAACTAGCAGCCCAGTGGAAGCATCAGGTTCAAGAAAATGATCAAGCTCTCTTGTAGACCACTCCTACAAGTGCACAGGTTCCAAGGTTACATACTCCTAGCCATAATGATTCAATGGCAAATTTTGTGGCCTCATTTGATGCAGGTACACAGCAAGGGGAGAGGGGATCTTCTGCTTTTGTTGTTCGAAGAGTTTCGGGTGAGGTTATAGCTGCCCAGGCTGATGTTTTTGAAGGCTGTAGTGATCCATATGTGCTGGAGGCATTAGCTTTGCGAAATTGTCTTCTGTATTGCAAGCAGCATCGCCTCAGCAGTGTTTGCGTTCATGGGGATGCTAAAGTCCTCATTGAAAAATGCAGTACAAGACAAGTTTGTGACGCAAAAATTGGGATCCTTCTTCAAGAAATTGACATGCTCATTGGCGATCTCATCAATGCTTCGGTTTGGTTTGTTGGTAGATTGAATAACAGAGTAGCTCACTCGGTAGCAAAACATGCTCTGGTTTTGTCGCCTCGGTTTTTACCAAGGTTTGACTTTGTTGCTTGGTTACGTAGTAGATAGGTACTTTGTATCTGTGACTTGTGTTCGACCTCTTTTTACGAGGAATCTAATGGCAAAAAAAAAAAGTAATAGTGTGGTTGTTGACCGTTTTCCAATCCTCCTCCAAATTCCAATAATATAGGTAAAATTTTGTGTACTCTTCTTCATTTCAAATTTCCTCAATTAGAGTGAAAGTAGGAAAGATATTTTTGTGTTTACAGTTAATTATTTATCTCATATAAAAAAATATCAATAACAGGACTTGAACATAGTCTCTTTAAATAGATACATCAATCACAACCAATTACACTAATCAAATTTGTTGTATCTTTTTTAATACAAAACATACACGAAGTTAAACTAAGAAAATCAGAAGACTTTTCCATCATGATTAGCAAGCCCACTAAGTCTACCGTATGTATTTTTTATGGTGCTTGATACTTCAATTTTCATAGTAGAGTTTCATATAATTTTATCAATTTTAAAATTTCTGCTCTCTCCTTAATTTTTTTAAAGAAATTGATAATTGGCTAACATGGAAGAAACTAATTGTGTTATTACGTGTTGTGTCCTTGCATTTTACAATTTAAATTTTGCGCTTTTTATCTTTGTTCTTTATCTCTTTCTAACTTCCTCCAAAATTCCCTCCATTGTGCAATAGTTTGCCCCCTTTCACTTCCCAGTACAAAGCCCCCTTTGAAAATCAATTTTCCGGTATCTCTTGACACTATGATTTTATTGTTGGGGATTTAACCTGTAGAAGATTTCAACTCTGATATCAATCCATGGCGAATAAAATGGAGTTCAATAAATGGGGATGCTGAAAGAGGATAAGAAATTGAAGTTTTGGTAAAAACGTATGCCTCTTGAGATAAAATTTTGGTTGTACAACGAAGAGTGGTGGTCATTGGATCTTTAGGTTTATGGTTTTTGCAACTATCACAACTTATTTCTATTTTAAAACGAGGAATCATTGATTGATTTACTGAAATAGATCGATACTTTATTCAACCTACGAGAATTGATAGATAAGGAGTGTCTAATTTGGTAGATTATTACTTTGATCGAGTCTATTAGTATATTGGAGGTAACCCAAATTTTCCCGTTTGCTGTAAAAATTTTATGCTCCCCTCTTAACTGAGTTGTTAGTATATAATTGACTTGGATCAACAACTCTCCATTTCTTTTTGATGAGTGGCATATTGTTCCTAAAAACATAGCATTGAACCTTTTATGTAAGATTATGAGGTTTAAAATTTAGTTTTAAACTATCTATGGATCGTGTGGGAATTCCAACTAATCAATAACTTTTAACGGGGGCTTAATTATCCTTATGAAAATGGAATCAGTGATACATTTTTATATTTTATATTCTTAAATGGTTTGACCTATGTATTTTTTCTTTATGTATCATCTTCATCAAAGCATTGTCAATAAAATTGAATGAGTAGATAGACTTAAACGTAACATAAAATGTAAATAATCAAATATGAACATTCCGGCCAACGGGCCGGGTTATAAGCTAGTTTCCCAAGGTAGCACTTTCTTGTTTTAGATGATTATGAAGAAAATAGAAGATACACATTTCAGATAAGAGAATTGTGGTGTATTTTAGTGCGGTTCAGCGGACTACCAACTGGGTTGCACATAGAGTGACACTTAAAGCCCTGTTGCTGTCTCGGTTAGATAGAGTTAGCTTATTTTGATTTTGTAGAGTGAATTGTTAGTGGGTCGGGGAGGGATTGTGGGTAGTGGTTCTTTCTAGCTATTGTCTTGACATTACTCGGGGGGAAAAAAGAATTGTGGTGTGCTTTCATCCCAAAGGAAGCCTCCTATTCATGATCCACAAGGTCGTACCTCGTTGTAGTTTGATCCTAAACTGCGTTTCTACTTTCTACAACAACAATTCACATTCTGCTGGAAACGATATTCGTACATTTATCAGTGGTCGGGTAGCACTCCATAATAAATGTGGTTGGATTTAAAGGCAGTAACCAACATATTGATTATTGGGATTAGAGAGTCACATTGTCTCGCCAAATTAAAACTTTGATATTACACATGCTGTTAGGAGCATTTATCATATGTTGTCCTTAACTACTTAAGTAAATTCATGCCTTAACAAACTTTTGGTCGATCATACAGTGACATCTTTTCCTTCTCTAATTAGAGTAAACTAAGCTCATTTAAACAAAATATCCACGAAGTGGTTAATTAACAATGGAAATTAACAAAAGCACATTTGTCCTCTTTATGATTAGCTGAGAGTGGTGCTAATTTGTCTGTTAACTAACATATATGACCCGAATATTAAAGAGCAAGGTTCAAAAAGGCGCTAGTCGTAAGGCGAGCGTTCAGCTCCTGACTTGTGCCTAGCCTGCTTAGGCGTTGCCTAGGCGCGCCTAGGCGTTTTGAGCATAAATGAAAAAATTCTTTCCATTTTTCTATAATAACTTCATATGATCACAAGTTCATATAGAATTAGAAACACTTAGTTGTTAACAAAACAAATAACAAGCATGTAGTGTCTATTTTCTGGAATCAGTAATTATCATTGTTAACTTAACATAACAAGTAACACCATTTTCTAGAATCACTAATTATCATTCACCAACGAGGCCATTATCAAACACTAATTATCATTAACAAGTAACACTAAATATATATTATCATCCCTACGTTTATCAATATACAAATGAAACAAAAAAAATCCAATAATGATGCCAATTGTGGCCATTATACTATCCAAACCAGGATTCCTGAGCACAAAAAAAAAATATATATATATATAAAAGAAATGAGACAAAACAGACAAGACGATTAGAGGCAGAGGTGTATAGTGGTACTGTGGTAAGAAGCTGAAAGATTACAAAGCAGCTGAGTACTCGCTTGTCTAGCCTAGGTTAATATTTTGCGAGGGAGAGGTGTGGATGGAAACGGAAGCGTGTTTG